TGTATTGGGTTGTCAGAAAAGTCGTGATGTATTGTTTTTCGTTGCAAAAATGCGTCATGCCTTTTCTGAAAACCCAATAGTTAAGTTCCCTTCATAAGCTAAGCCTAACAGCACAGCTTGAGAAGAGCATGTCCTCTTCCCGTAGAAATTACCTAAACAGCCACCTTTTGCTTTTTTCTATTTTAAATGTCCAGTATCAAAGGAGCTTTGAGCCATTCATCTAGCACTTTCCAATACATACTTGCCTCGGGCCAGCCCAAGAACTCCCCTTGCAATTGGGCCCAAAGCACACTAGCTACTCTACACACGGTCATCACTTTGTCTTTCCACAGCCTAGCACGCCACAAGACTTGCAGGCACAGGGGAAACTAAAGGGTGCTCTCAAGAATTAGGAGTCAATTTCCTTTGGGGACTCCTAGTTTTTTACCACATTCCCCGAATAAAAAGACATGGTGAAATCTGATTTAATGTGACCTGTAACCAAACAGTGCCACAATACTGCCAGCACATAAAAGTTTTGGTAAGCAGTACCTTTGTGAAACAAAAATGACAGGCTTCCATCATGTGCATTAATTCAAATGGCTTTTTTTTCACTAATTAATGAAAAGGTCTTTAAATGTTGAGACTTCAAAACCAATTACCCAATCCCTTCAGGAACTTACAAAGTAACAGTAATAAGTCCACGTGTCTTTTACACACCTTTTCATGAAGGTTATCTATACTCATACTTACTGCTTAACTACTTGAGAGTCGTCCCCCCCCCCCCCCCGGCTTTCCCAGTCACTATGAACGCAAACAGGACAAAAAACTAGCTTATCATCTAAATCCAAAATCAAGAAACATTTCTCTACAAAACAAGGAGAATGACCCCAGTCAAAAAAAATCTTTATGTTCCTTTATTGGAGCAAGATTCCTGACCAGTATACAGTGATGTATTTACTAAACAGAGACCTGTGCAGAAATTACATACTATCCATCTAGATAGGTTTTCATTACACTTTGCCTATTGATGGAATAGTTCCATTTATAAAGTTTTTATACATCAAACAGCTTTGAATTTGACCAGGCTGTCCATTAATTCAACTCTGAAAAAGTGGCATTTAATTTTAGCTACTATATTTTACAGCATTAAAAAGCTTAGGCATTAGGTAGCTTCTCAAAATGTTACTCTATGCACGATGGCATTTAGCAGAGCAGAGTCCATCATCTCACCCAGATTCACACAGTCGGGTCTCATTTGAGAACTATATGCTAAATAGCTGGTACTTAGAGACAAAAGTACTCCTCACCTGAGTTTCTTACCACCAATACGGACTTCTTACTCTGATAGCGTGTCTTCTTGGCCATTTTACAGTGCCAACGAAGACATGCCAGCGATTGCCCCGTGTGTAACTCGGCATTAGAGCACCAGGTCTCTCTGATGGTGGTGGCAGGCACTATTATTATATCCAAGTAAATAAAGGCCCATTTTTTAAAAATGCCAATTTGAAATACAAATTAAGGGTACAATATACTCAGAACTGAGTTTTGAGCAATCTGGTATCCCGAATGATTTGAAAATTTTTCAGACACTGATGGCAAATTGTACCCATGATGTTTCCTAGCTATGGAGACATTAATACATTGATTCAAATCCCTTTACTCAATCCACATAGCCCTGAGGTCATCCTGCAAAGTGCGTATCAAAAAATACGGAGTTAGGGTGACAAAGTTTGACAATAGTTATACAAGTCAAACCTGTTCTGAGAGAAAAGCATCAAATCCTTTGTGTACACATTTAGTTTTATTGTAACAAAGCAACTTGTACACTTTTAACGTTTAAAACTGATCATCTTTCCTTTCCAGTGAAACAAAAAGAAAATTTAAAAATAAAGAGGAACAAAA